ATTATTTTTCACATTTTGTAACCTGACTTCAAATGTACTTAAAGTATGTAAAGTGGTCAATAAACATTCTATATATTTATCTATAATAATTATTAGTATTATCATTTTCCTTATAATGATAAATGCATTGAGATTTATATTGATGAAATTGGAGTGTATGTTGGAGAAGGTGAAATACACTACATTTCTAAAAATAATCATTTTTTTTGTATTTATATAGATATTTTTATTTTATTATTAAAGATCTTAACTCAAATAAACAGTACGAGTCAACATCTACTAATTGAAAGTGTTGAGCGGAAATATCAGATTATGTTATGCCCTTCTATTGAACAAGTAATCATATATTGAGGGTAGATTAGATATCGCAGCTAGTATATAAGTGTTTAAACAAGTGTTATATTCAGTGTACATGTTGTAGATGAAAGTAAACCACTATCTAAGTGCATTTTGAGGATCCAACAGGCTCTGGTCTCATAGGGAACAGAAGATGCTACTAAATGGAATGAACGTTTAGGCTCCTCTTTACGCTTACGGTTTTTCATCATTGTGAATTTTTAAATGTATCTTTAGATAACTTAATTAAACTTTTGGAACAAATGTAACACGAACAAAACACATGTAGTTTTTTATGCCGCCTCCGAGACTACCAACGACATATGTGCCTATATTCCCAGACATTTGCTGGCGTTGTGGCCAGCGAGGCCACACCAGGGAGTGTTGTAGAGGACCAAGGGTCCTGTTTTGTTCCCACGTAAAAAAACCACATCCTCTTAGTTTGTGTCATTTATTTAAATGCAAGACTATGGAAGATAGAAATAAAACAGTTACAAGAAACTCGTAGTCCATTTGTTCCCGGACAATTGATGTGGGTAAAACTTAAAGGATACTGGTATGAGAAAGGGTCAGCTTGTGTAACAATGATGAATTCACTAGAGTTGGTACACAGTAGAAGAGGGCAATAAGAGCTTCAGATTCAGCAAATATGATTCTATAGATGTTTTTTTATTATTAAAGAAAGAATGTTATAAATGTGCTTTTTTACACAGTATATAGTACTGTAATGTTTTAGTTTATAAAGAAGTACATTAGCAAATCTAAATTTACAATTTTATAATAGAAACTCTTTCTTGAACTATTGCTAACAACTCTATGGAAAATTGTCCAACTAACCGACATGCCATATACATATGCTCTTGCAAAGTCCTTGGATATACATCAAAGCATCCGCAGAATACTAATAGTTATTAAGGAAGGATAACACATCAGGAGAGATATTTTTAACATTTAAAAATTGTTCTACTTTCTGCAAAAGAGAGATAAATAAAAATTGCATCACGTCTAGTGAGATGAGACTATATTGTAATATAACGGAAGCTAATCTATTCGAGACAATATTTAAATACTTCCCACAACAAACAATGACTCTAAGCGAGGATGAATTAACCAAAAGAGTTTTAAATATGGCAGCATCTGATATTTGAGAGAAACGCATTCCAATTTACATGAGTATAGACTTCAAATCATGGAACATACACAGGCAAACTCATCCCAATTTATATGAGTATTGATTTTAAGTCCTGGAATATACACAGGCAATATAGAAATCAAGTTTAAAAAATTATACAATATTATACTTTGTTAATACTAATTTTTTTGAATGGTTTTTCTCTAGTGTGAATTTTTAAATGTATCTTTAGATGAGACTGACATTTGTTAAAAAAATAACACACGAACGGTTTTTTATCAGTGTGAATTTTTAAATGTATCTTACGATTAGACTGCATTACATTTTTGAAATAAATTTCACTGGAACGGTTTTTTATTAGTGTGAATTTTAGTAAAAAAATAGGCTGTGTTCAGGGTATTTTTTTTTTTTTTGAATTCGTAAGTTTGGTGTTTTTCAAAAAATTGGGTAGCAGGCTTATAGAAACCCGCCTGTAATACAGAAATGGGTGACCTGTGACCCCAAATCAATGGTTTTTCATCAGTGTGAATTATTAAATGTCGATTTAAGATAGAATTACTATGCTTAAAAGTGATGAAGTGTGAAAATAATAACTGGAAACTGAATAGCAGCTTTATTGAAAATGGGGTACGAGCTGAAAACGAGTTGCATGCATGTAAGTCCGTTTGTGTTGCCCAACAAACTCTATTATTAAAAAAAAAAACGAATATCTTTCCGAAGTAATCGCAAACCAAAGCGAAAAAATTGATTTAATGCGAAAAAAAAAATGATATTTTGAATAAAAATATAACTAATTTTTCCCAAAATATAATAAAATGAAAAAATAAAAGATTTAAATATTGATATTATAATAGAGAAAGAAATAATTAATAATGAAAATGATTTGATGCTAGTCGAAAAATTTTAAGAAAATGTAGAAAACAAAGAAAAGCTAAATAAAAAAAAGTCGATTATAAAAATTTAGATTACCTTGTAAATTATTAAAATTATTTAATGTAGTATTTTATGTTTTAAATTTGAATTATTTACCACATCACCCACGCAAGACTTGTAATAAAATTTTACCAATTATGCATTATGTAGATGATATTGATTTTCTATATAAGCAACAAGCAACGCATTTATTTTTTTTTTAAATATAATCATGCATTGTATCGGGTGAGTATTAATATTATTGTTATATCAAGTTTTTATTATCTATCCATTAAATTTTTTAATTTTTTCAAAAAATTGGAAATTTTGCAGTTTCAACTTCTGAAGTTGGAACTAAATGGGTTTTTAAAGAAAATGGGGTACATTTAATTATTTTAAAAACTAAAAGTAAATAAATTAAATAATTCTATTAATATTTATAATAAAATATATATAATTTTTAGATGATGCATTACTGTTATGCGATTTCGATGATAAGTAAATTTCTTTAAATTGGAGTATATTTTAATAAAAATTTAATAATTTTAGAGAAACCGAAATTGTTACACAATATCAGTAAGTCTGTGAATAGTGCAACTAAACTATCCATTACATTTTGTATTTTTTAGACTCCTCAATTCAGATTTAAATTTTGAAAATCCGGAGGTCTGGGGGTAGATATTTTCTAAATCATTTTTATTTTTTTTTTTTTTCATTTTGAAAGTTTTTAGAATTTATCAAAAAATCGGGGAAAAAATATATACAGATGCGGAAATGGGCGAAAAAATAGAGATAAATAATGGAACTATTATAAAGCAAGAAAACAGAATGAAAGTTGTAACTTGATTAAAACCAAACATTATGACGTATGTAAAATTTATTTCAGTTATAAAAATTAAAACTAATTAGGTATATTAATTTTAATCCATTGTAAGTTTCACAAAAATCACAAAAGCAGGTATCTTCTCTTTATTGGTAATATATTTCTGCAAGTAATTTTTATTTTGAGAACAAACTTGCGGGAAAATATTGTAGCAAGTACTTGACTAGTTTCGTTCTGGGTTAAAATCTAGACATAGCAACTACTTGTTGTTCTAACTGAGAAGGCACGAAGTACTTATGAAGGGTGGGGTAATTGTAAAGCACATAAAAGATATACTTTAACTTTGAAACCTTAGTTACATTTATTAACTAAGTAGATGCCATGAATAAAATTAAGATTATTAGTAACGTTATATTAAACAATGAAAGTGACATCCGACATCCAAATCTTAGATGGATCATTTAGTGACTTAAAACCAATTGGATACTCAACCCCCAGAAACCAGCCAACAACTTCAAAAAGTATTCCAAAATTAATAATTGCAGGCAAATGTATTAGAAAAACTGATTTGAGGCAGGAGAAGTATAGCGATATTTCTTCATCCGAGGAAGATAATAATATTCATGAAAATTCAACCATAGAAGACATCACACTCTATGAACCAGAGGACCTTATTGCTGAACAAGAATCGTCCAATGAATATTTAAATAAGTTGGAGCAATTCATCATAGACACCAAAAAGTTTGTAAAACAAAAAAAAGCGAAAAGGTATAATTTATATAAAAAATTAAGAAAATATCAAAGACGTGTCTCTAAAATTCAGAAAACAATAGATGAAATGGATGCTATATTATTGAGAGCAGTCAGGATTAACCTATTGGAATAATTCTTTTCTATTTTTTAATTATAAACATTTTTCATGTGCTATTTCAAAATTAATGTTAAGTTTTTATCGAACCCACAGTTTCAAAATCAAAATAAAGATTATTAGTAACGTTAGATTAAACAATGAAAGTGACAGTGCTTCCGACATCCAAATCTTAGATGGATCATTTAGTGACTTAAAACCAATTGGATACTCAACCCCCAAAAACCAGCCAACAACTTCAAAAAGTATTCCAAAATTAATAATTGCAGGCAAATGTATTAGAAAAACTGATTTGAGGCAGGAGAAGTATAGCGATATTTCTTCATCCGAGGAAGATAATAATATTCATGAAAATTCAACCATAGAAGACATCACACTCTATGAACCAGAGGACCTTATTGCTGAACAAGAATCGTCCAATGAATATTTAAATAAGTTGGAGCAATTCATCATAGACACCAAAGAGTTTGTAAAACAAAAAAAAGCGAAAAGGTATAATTTATATAAAAAATTAAGAAAATATCAAAGACGTGTCTCTAAAATTCAGAAAACAATAGATGAAATGGATGCTATATTATTGAGAGCAGTCAGGATTAACCTATTGGAATAATTCTTTTTTATTTTTTAATTATAAACATTTTTCATGTGCTATTTCAAAATTAGTGTTAAGTTTTTATCGAACCCACAGTTTCAAAATCAAAATAAAGATTATTAGTAACGAAAAAAATGAATTCCAATGAAATTGGTTCTACAAGCGATGAGCTCATTAAAAAATTTAAGGAGGTAGAGTGTGAAATTTTAAATAAAACTAAAAATTTGTCTCCTTCAGAGACAGAAATTTGGAAAAATCAAATCAATAGATGTATTAGACTATGTAATTTAGCTATTCGAGATGCTGATTTAGCCATTGGTTCGTTACGAAAATTGCAAACTAATGTTGGTCATCTCATAAGATTTAAAATTTTAATTCAATAATCGGTGGGGGGAGTCTTAAAAAGAATCGTAGTAAAAGGGTTGTATGGAGAGATATAACTTCAGTATTTGAAAGTAGGATTCGTACGGGGATAATAATAAATAAAACTCATAAAGATATCATTCAGTTTTTAAATGATGCTTTTTATTTATTTAAAAATAGAATTGAAAATATTTTTTAAAAAATGCCAATGATAAAAGTGAATACATATTTAAGAGGGGAATTTATAAAGAAAACAGGGGAGACAGAGGTACGAGAAAAAAAATATTTTAATACCAAAAATGAAATAATAGATTTAGGAACTGATTTAGATCACTGGTTTGAAGTTTTCGTAAAAGAAAAATTTTTAAATAAGTTGTCTGAATTTCAAGAAAAAGATAGTAACTGGGCTCTAGATCAAATTAATTCAGTAGAAATAAATATAAACAAATTTGAAATGGGTATAGGATATTCATCTTTCATTGATCTACCTAATGAAATTGCTAAAAAACGAGCATGTATTAATATTAGAAACACTGATCATGCATGCTTCGCATGGTCGATAGTCTCAGCTTTGTATCCTACTAAAAATAAAACCGGTAGTTTTAAAATTAATAACAATAGACGATTAGGAAAACACCCTGTGTGAACAAGATGATATTATTAATTAACAACAGTCGACAGATGAATATTTGACTAGATTGGAACAATTTATAACAGATACTAAAGAATTTGTAAAACTTAAACAAGCAAAGAAGAATCTTTTATATCGAAAACTAAAGAATTATCAACGTCGTGTTACAAAAATTCAATCAACGACCTATTCATTAGATAACGTAAACGTAAGTTATGTTTCTACCAAAACGAATAAATTCTGTTCTGAAGTGGCAGGAATACCAGCTTGCGAAAGGGAAAATTTTGCTTGATATACGAAGTAACAAAAGAAGATGGAAAAGTAAATCCTGCCGAAAAATTTAAAATCCTTAAGAAAGCAGAATAATGAATACACAGTATTGTGAAAATTGCAAGAATTATTTTTATTTTTGAGAAAAATCTGTAATAGTGTATTCATTTTTATCAAAACTCTTTCAATTCCAAGATTTAAATTCTAAGGAACCGTATCCAAAATTAGGTGAGCTTCCAAAATTAAGTGAGCTTCCAAAATTAGGTGAGTTTCCAAAATTAATTAAGTCTTTTACATGAAAAAGGCATACTTTCACTGAATCTTGGTAACATTTTAAATACTTATAATGGCTAAAATACAAATAATTAGGGATGTTCTATTAAACAATCAAAGTGATATCGGCAGTGACCTGGAAGTGCTAAAAAGTTATTTTTAAGTAGTATAATCAATCCATAGGGTCTTCAACTTCAAAGATGGACTGCTAAGTTTCCTAATCAAATTGCATCTAACCCAGTAATCTCCAAATTAGTTATATCTAAAAAATGTATTAAGAAGGTGGATTTAAAACAGGAAAAGTACAGTGATATTTCCTCAGACGATTTAGAAAGCACCCTGTGTGAACAGGAAGATATAATCAATGAGCAGCAATCGACAAATGTGTATTTAAAAAGATTATAGCAAATATTTTTTTAAAAAAAAATTAGTTGGAACTAATTGAACACCATACAATTATTTGTCACCATCCATCCGTAGTTAATCCTGAAGAAGTTTTAAAAGAAGAGTACGTCGAACAGGTATACTGCGCACATTGCGAGCAACGGTGCATAAAGTACAATACGTAGAGATCGAAGATTGCAAATCTTGTCTCTCAAAATACACAAACGAGGTATTAACAGCAGAATTTCTTACTAATGGCGGAAATGACTAAAGATACTTTAAATTTAATTCAATAAATATGACAGACTGCGATGGAATTGTGGTCTCTGTTAAAGAATTGTTCGAAGAAATGGCTGCTACGAGGAACAAGAATTATTCACGACGTTATGCCAAACATCGATGAAAAAACAACATATTTATTTAGTAGATATCTTTCAAAAAAATTTAATGGAAGACTCTTGGGTCATTCATACCGACCATGCGCAAACCATCCACGACTGTATGTACTCCGGAAACAAATGTAGATGTGCCAGACTTGGATGCTTGCATGTCAAAATTGGGTCTAGACGGTTTTATAGATTCTATTGCTTCAGTCCCAGATACCTCTACAATCTCACAAAGTAGGTAACCAGTTTTTAACGAAAAACGTGTGGAGTATTATTAAAATGAACTGCATTAATATATAAAGAGAAAAACTACTAATAATAATATTTAAAATAAAATAATTTGTTTGATATGTGGTTGTTGTTTCTGCTTTTGCAACGTCTCCACAACTTCAGTAATATTTCAGTATAGTATATTATGATGGAGTGTTCAGGGTTAGTTTAGTTATAATTTTTAAAACTTTATTTAACAATAGATATTTTAGATAGTTGCAAAAAATTGGCGAGTTAGAGTACTCTAACTCACCAATTGGAAAAACATGGGTGTTTTTAAAGGAGAGCGCTATATTTATTAAAAAAGTAAAAATCTAGATCTTTTTGGTAAGCTAAATTTAAAACAAATTTTAAATTAATATTAAATTTTAGGTATCCATTTTATTATATTTTAAAATAAAGGCATAAAAATATAAATTTAAACATTTTAGTGTCAGAACAATCGACGTATCGAAAATGTAAGGTTTTTTTAATATGTAAATTGGCTAATTTATTTTAGGTTAAATGATGATGCTGAGTAAGTTATATGTTTATTAGATTCAAATTGTCCACGACTGTTCCTACGCCAGTGGAAAATGCAGATGTTCCAGAATCCAATGTCTGCCAACCAAGGGAAAATCTCGAAGACATCATCGAAGCTATTATTTCTCTATGAAAGGAAAATAAAAACGGATGCCGTGCAAATAGTAGACGAAATTAGGTTAAGAACACTAGAGGTTTTCCTATTGTGACGATGAAAATTATCTAGTACGACTAGAAAATAAGAGCAGTGATCTTTCTAAAATACACATCAGAATGATCGAGGCAGCTGTTTTTTAGAGTAAAATTCAACCTTGAATAACTTTTAATTTTTGTTTAATTCAGATTTCGGCTATGGATAAGTCATTCGTGTTTAGAAGTTCCAAATAATCTACTAGCGCGGGAGTCGCTCCTGTGAGTTTGACTTAATACAAGAATTAGAAGTAAGTAATTTTTTTGTTTTAGTTTTTATTGAATTAAATTCGCCAAGATGTGCAATGCAGACCTTTGAAATACCATTTAATAAAATTTTGCTGCCATTACCTTTTCAAGAGGAATATAATTTGAAACCCATTCTCACCTATGATGGACCAGGAGAGCCTACTTTTCCCTGGTCATTCCCGCACCAGGATTTACTGGGCCATTTCAGTTGCGGGGATGATGATGCTAATTGCAGCTATTATTATCATTTTTACGTTTCTGGGGAATTAAGTCCGCCTGAGAAACCCCAACTATTACTATGTGTTAATTGTTATAATTCACCAATCGAAAATAACATTGTTCTTAAGCTCTGTCAATTATTTGATAACTTATAATGTGATTTTGTTCATAAACATAGTGATCATCATATTCATTGTTTTGTATGCAAAATGGATTCAATTAATTAAGCATTAAGCATGTCCTATTTTTGGTATGCTACATTTAAATGTAGGTATGCATTATTGGAGTAGTATTTTAAGTATTTAAATGTTTCTAACAATGAATATAACATTATATTTTTATTTAGATACTATTAAAAGATGTCTGAAATTCAGAACAGTCCGCCAGCGAGTCCAATAACGGAAGAAAGTTGTCAACTGGATTGTCTGCTGAATTTACTCGAATTGATATGGCCGATGCAGGGCCTTCTACTTCAAACTATAATTCAATTGTTGGAGATGACAGTAATTGTTTGCCAAAAGGAACAATATCTCAACGGCAAACGTCTCTTAAAGACTTTTTTACCAATTTTAACGAAACTGAAGAAAACGAAAACATCAGCAATATCAACAATTACCTTCGAGGAATTCAAAGTTATATTAAAGGAGAACGCATTTTACATGACGTTTTGCCAAACATCACTAGAGAGCAAGCTACTTACTTTCTTGAAAGAAGTAATTATTAAAAATAAGAAAAGAAAAGTTTCAGTAAGAAAGAAATTAGCCATAGCTATGTCTCTTTGCGACAAAGCTTTTAGAAGAGATTTTGTTGGTAGGGTATTAACAAAGATTAGTCCTGGATCAGTCGGATATAGAGATGTAACTTATAAGCCTACTCGAGCTATATATGTATTACCTTTAGGTACTATTCATGCTCAAATAGCAGTAGCTTCACATTTAGTTAACTACGCTGGATCTGGGGCTCATAGAGCTGATAAACCTATAGATGCGTCTCATTTCGCTACGGGTAGTTCATCTACTTCTGGTGTTAAGAGTATTTGACAATTATGAAGTTATTAGAGACAGCGGCAATCCTAGAATTCTATGTATTGATTCTGATTTAAGTGCTTTTGATTCACATGCTGTGTTTTTGTGGCGCTGGGAAACAGTAACAAAGTCTAACCAAGTTCAGTATTGCGTGTGTTATACAGGTAAAAAAATATTTGTTTGTATTCTACCACGGCTCAAGCTCAGAGATATACTAAATATATTATAACCAAATGTAGTGTTTGCGCCAAATCAAAACATTGAGTAAGTTTTTGAAGATAAAGTTTAATAAATTTTGATTTTGTTTTAATAGCACAAGCCGTTAATGATATTGTTCGGGGGGGCGCATGATAGGATGGTACCCCCGCAAGCGGTTTTGTTGGGGGTATGTGGGGGACGGCGGCTGTATGCTATCGATGGTGCATGGGTGGCCGTATGGGTGATGCGAATGGTAGCTTATAAAATTATATTAGCCTGCAGTACAGAAATGGGTGGCCTGTGACCCCAAATCAATGGTTTTTCATCAGTGCGAATTATTAAATGTCGATTTAAGATAGAATTACTATGCTTAAAAGTGATTTCTGACACAGTTGACCGGGATTATATCAGTAATGATGAGAGACGAGAACATTGATCCAGTATATCAGACGGAGTTCTTGGATGGATTAGACGACAAAGAGACAGACGTGATAAACACATTGCCGTTTTGGCAGAGCATTTCCTTCTACAATTTCAAGAAACATTGCGAAGAGGCCAAACAAGAATTGTAAGAGAATCACTTAATCCCAATACTTAAAACATTCCAGGAGAAATGGAGAGGATACGTGCAATCCTAGACACACCGAGCCCTACACCTACTGGCATATCATCCTTGCCTGTCCAGGGAGACACTACTGCTTTAGATGCTACATCCTTTTAATCAGAGGACGGACTTGCAGGACTGCTAAACTTTCATATTACGCTGAGAGATTGGAACCGTATCTTCGAGTATCTCCGTTCAGACGGGAGATTCATTCAGCACATATCAAGCGAAATTACCAGTTACAGCAGACTACGTGGAATTCAATACGTTCCAGACGATATACTACGTGGGATGTCAAGATGGAAGGAACCGGTGGAGGGTTGCCAAGAAGCGAGTCAAAGCCGCAGTCACCGTGTCTGAGATGATAATGTTCAATTCAGTCCTAGACAAGATAGCGAACAGGATAAAAAACGCGCCAAACCTACAATTAAAGCAAGGTATGAGGACCTCGAATCAATGATTGTAAGATATGCAAACTGTTACCTGTTAAAAAAAAATACCACACGAACGGTTTTTCATCAGTGTGAATTTTTAAATGTATCTATAGATGATTCTACTTATTAAATTTTTGGAAGAAATGTACCACGAACGGTTTTTCATTAGTGTGAATTATTAAATGTCGCTGTAAGATAGAATAACTAATTTCTTTTAACGGTTTTTTATCAGTGTGAATTTTTAAACGTATCTTAAGATTAGACTGTATTAGATTTTTGGAATAAACTTCACAGGAACGGTTTTTTAATAGTGTGAATATTGGTAAAAAAAAATAGGCTGTGTTCAAGGTATTTTTTTTTGAATTCGTAAGTTTGGTGTTTTTCAAAAAATTGGGCAGCAGGTTTCTAGAAACCCGCCTGTAGTACAGCAATTGGTGACCTGTGACCCCAAATTAACGGTTTTTCATCAGTGTGAATTATTAAATGTCGATTTAAGATAGAATTACTGAGTTTTTTGAATAGTTTATTATCAGTGTGAATTTTTAAACGTATGACTGTTCATGACATTTTTTAGAAACACATGTAACACGGTTTTTCATCGGTGTGAATTTTTAAATGTATCTTTGGATTAGACTGTTTATTACATTTTTTAAAATAAATATCACACGGTTTTTTATTATTAAATAATTCTTAATCTCATCGTTTTAAAATATGATAGGCTAGTAATAAAATCCATATCGATTATTGTAATCGATCAACCGCGATTTGCAATAAAATCAACCAGTATTATTGAAGATAGACTAGTTAGTATAAAATCGAAGTTATTTTATATAAGATTGAGTTGCGATAAGGTCGACCAGTAATTGAGACTGAAGATCGACTAGTAATAATATCGAAAATCAATTAATAAGACAGACGGGTAATAATAATATAGTGTATTACCAGACGTGATATATAATACAGAAAAGAAAATCAACGAAAAATAAGAGATTTTCTAACAAAACTACCATTAAATGATTCTGATTATCCCTTTCTCCAAAGGGGTTGGTTACCGCAATCTCGAAAGGGATAACAGGCACGATTTATAGTAGAGAAACGTTGGAAATATCGAAACTAAGGAAAATGTTGGTATTTCGAGCCGGATTTAAACCAGCTACCTATGAATATTAAAGCCAGAAGAAAATAAAGCAAAAAAAACATAACTACCTAATTACTTGAAATACAAAAAGAATAGGATCCACAGGGATGCCAAATAAAAAATAAATAAGTCAAATTTAAACAAATTAAAAAATGTTTCGTCTAGAACGAAATCGATGCTACCCCCCCTCGATAATCTCGTAGACGTACCGCCTTTTTGGCATCATTTTTTTATGCGGTACAAAATCGCTGCTACACTTGAAGATCTGCTACTCTCGAAGGTCTTGTAGACGTACCGCCTTTTTGGCATCATTTTTTTTATGCGGTACAAAGTCTCTGCCGCGCTCGATGATCTTGTAGACGTGAAGGTCGGAACGATGATAGTATAGGGATATTTTAACCTACCAAGATGGATTAAAACAAGTAGACATATTATATATTTATGTAATTTTTTTTAATAGTGTAATTACTATTAGAAAAAATTACAAATATCAACGAATAACTGTATAAGGGAAGATTAATTATTGTATTTTAAAGATTTTGATAAGATCGGTTCATATTAAGAAGATCGATACGTAATAAGATCGATCCTATTAAAAAGATCGATTTATATTATTTAGATCAATTATAATAAGATCGATCCGTAATAATAAGATAGATTCGTAATAATAAGATCGATTCGTAATAATAAGATCGATCTGTTATAATTTCATCAGTTATTCATTGATGCGTCTTCCTCCCCCAATCCCCATATTATTCTTTATTACGAGTTTGACATAGAATACATAAAATGTACAATAATAAAATTGTCGTAACAATTTATAAAGTGTTTCTAATGCAGCAGGGTCTTCATCTCGATAATGTGTATCTCCCTCCTGCAACAAAAAAAAATTATTAATACAAAAATACATATTTATAAATAATAATAAACTTGATTTGCAACTTCAATTTTTTTATATAGATATAAAACATGAGAAAAAAGAAAACATTAGCCAAAGAAGGCTGCAAAAAGGACTGGTGAACAGTAGAAACTGATCAAAGCACCAGCCCTGAAATATGTCCAACGCCACAAGACATCGTACAAATACAATATGCTTTTTTTTTAACAAAATATGAGTATTCTAAAGAAATTGTTCAAGACATTTCTTTAAAACGTTCTGGGATATCATTGTACAAAGCGCAAATGTTATAGGTGAAAGACCGTCTGAAAATAAAAGTATTACGTATTGGAGGTGAGATACGACCACAAAAACATAGATTTATGAACATCAGAATGATACCTTATTTTAGTAAAAAGATATGGACGAGATTTATTTAAAATAATAGAATAAAACAGATTTGCTGAGTGTAAGACTCGAATTTCCGTATTCCATATGAAAAGATTTCTGTACTTTCTGAATTCTAGTTAAGTCTGAGCTATCTAAACAGGGTCCATACCCCGGAAGCACACCAAATCCTTTGGATGTCTACTGGACATCCCAATATCAATACCAGAATTATTTCCTTTTTTAAGAATAGCCCGCCTGGCTTTTATTCCACCTAGTCCCTGAACTAGGTACTACAGCGACCTTTGATTTTGCTTACTAAGTATAGATGGCGATACCACTTTCGCTTGTTGAATATCTACTCATGATCAACCCGTCGTAATTGAGTTCGACCGAAATTGGTATTGCAATCAGACTCTATTAGACTGGAGTCGAGAATTTCTATTTATTGCAGAAGAGTCCTAATAAGGACGAAACCGGTCCAATAATGTCACATTTGAGTTTGGAATTATTTCTTTTTATCTATAGGATATAGCCATTGGTTACTTATGAACCTCTACTACAGATACCAATAAAATATTTTGCTGAATATCTATAGAATATCTTCTATATCCTGGGTATAGACGGACATTTGGATATCCATATTAGATTCACTGGATATATATAAAATATCTTGTGAATATATTGGATATCCACAAAATATATTCTGTGGATATCTCTGGGAATTTCTTGTATTGTCTGGGAGATACCCATTAGATATTTTGCTGGTTATCCATAGGATATCTTCTATATTTTGGATATAGACGGACATTTAGATATCCATATTAGATCCACGGAATATTTCTGATATCCTGTGGATATATTGGATATCCACAAAAGATATTCTGTGGATATCTCTGAGATTTGGTGTGTTGTCTGGGACACTGCATCACAAAAGTTAAAATTACTTAGAACCAGGGAATCTGTTAATAATATTTTTGTGTAAGAATATGTCGATGTGGGTGAAGTATTTTTAGATTCATATAAGCTGTTTAAATGCACTTGTTAACGTGAAGTTTAAACCTCAAGTCATTATCAATTACTAAACAATAGTTATTTATTTATAATAAAAAAAATATTTAGATATTTACTTATGATAACAAAGATAGGGTTATAAACGGCAAAAAAATCAAATATTTTATTATAATGCAAGAAACCAATATTTATTTATAACCAGCATGACCTTGGGAGCACCAATCAGAAACTTACACTACAAAATTTGAATATGCCAGTGCTAAAACACTATCAATGAAATTATACTGACCCATGAAAGCAGCATCGTGCGTTTAGTAAACGTGTTGCCATAGTGGCAACATGGTACAGTTGGGCACTATGCAT